AATCAAGCCTTGGGAAGGGGAGGTGAGACCCCTGAGGTAGGCATGAATGTTCAATAAAAGTCCTAGGTCCTAAGAAAAAAGGTGAACTGTCTTATGGTGGTTTCAGAACCACTCACACATACACAGGAAATGAGAAGGTGATAGGGCCAGAAGCTCTGACAGGTGGAAAGAAGAGGGACTCACTCGTACTATTGAACATATTTTTGCAATATTATTATAGTAAGAACAGAATAACTTTTGGTTTATAAACTTCCAGTGTAACCAGTGTGTGAGCATGTTTGTGTAAGTACTATCTTCCCGCTGCCTCATTCTTATTGGGGTCTGAACTACAACACCTTTATTTGAAAAGGACCAGTGTACATGTTGCTGTAATAACCAAGGGCGCTCACTAAATTCAACAAATACAGTTACCTTACAGATGAGATGTCCCTGGTGACTTTATTATTTTTTTAAAGGATTTTATTTATTTATTCATGAAAGACACAGAGAGAGAGAGGCAGAGACATAAGCAGAGGGAGAAGCAGGCTCCCTGCAGGGAGCCCAGTGTGGGACTTGATCCCAGGGCTCCAGGATCACGCCCTGGGCCAAAGGCAGGAGCTAAACCGCTGAGCCACCCAGGGATCCCCTCCCTGGTGACTTTATAATTTTTTTTATTTTTATTTATTTATGATAGTCACAGAGAGAGAGAGAGAGAGGCAGAGACACAGGCAGAGGGAGAAGCAGGCTCCATTGCACCGGGAGCCCGACGTGGGATTCGATCCCGGGTCTCCAGGATCGCGCCCTGGGCCAAAGGCAGGCGCCAAACCGCTGCGCCACCCAGGGATCCCTCCCTGGTGACTTTAAACAGCAAAATGGAAATAGAATCAGGGGGCTCTTTAACTATCTCTGAAGATCTTTTTTGCCCTGGCCGAGTTTGAAATAGGAAACACACAAACCGTTATGTGCATCTCAGAAATGGCGAGGTCCATGCTTGCTCTTTCTCCCTCTCTCGTCTATTTCTGGGCCACTTTAGGGGAAATAGTATGTGTAATGCTATGGAGAAAATCCTATTTTCCAGTGGGTCACAAGAGGTACCAATTTACTGGGTGAATACTTGGATATTCCCTTCTGAAGGGAGGACTCCTGGACTTGTAAGTGAATTGGCACATTGATCAATAGTGCCACCCTGCGTGAAACATGGAAAAGAATGCATCTGCTCCTGGAAGGACAGAAGGGACCCTGCTCTGCACAGGGGAGGAGTGAGGAAGAAGCATCCTTAGTTGGTGGGACAGATCTATCCAAGGGAACTTATAAAATTACGGGTGATGTAAAACCCTCCTCCATCACCCTTACAAAGTCTCTAGCAAAGTGACATTAGCCACTAGTGCTTTCAGTGGGAATGGAATTCTTTCTGGAGAGTTCAAAGTCATCACTATTACACATGACACAAAAGTGGTTTCTGAGCTGCAGGCCAGGGGTTGCTTTACGTGTGAAAGCAATTTAGTGTTTCATGCCCAGCTTTTAACAAATGAAATAGAATAGAATAGAAAAGATCAGGGCACCTTGCACAGAATAAAGGTAAGGAGGCTTCTGGAAAATTTTGTACATATTTTAGTCCATCTGGACAGCTATGACAAAATACCACAGATTGAGTGGCTTATCATCTATGGAAATTTTCTCAGAGTTCTGGAGACTAGCGAGTCCTAGATCAGGGTGCCAGCACGGCTGGGTGAGGGCCCTCTTCCTGGTTCATAGCTGGTGTCTTTTGTTGTGTCTTCATGTGGTGGAAGGGGCAAGGGATCCCTCTGGAGCCCCTTTTCTAAGGGTACTAATCCCATTCGTGATGGCTCCACATGATTTAAGCACCTCCCAAAAGCTCCAGCTCCTAATAATCACCTTTGGGGGTTATGTCAGCATATGAATTATGAATACAAACACAAAAGTTTTAGACCATGGCAATATATGTGTCCCAAGCTATGACATAAAAGGTGATTCTTTTTGTGGATCACGGTAAAAAAACAGTGTGAAACTCTGCACTACAGTATAATATGCCAATTACAACAGTCATCTGGACAGCTCACTCAGCTCTGACAGGTGCCCAGCGTCCTTATGAAAGCAGTCTTGATGCCTGTTCGTTGCAGCGCTACTTACACCTGCCAAGAGGTGGAAGCAACCTAATGTCGTGGAGGGATGAGGGGATAAACAGCCTCTGGTATATGCAGACAATGGGACACTATTCCATCTGAAAACAGAAGAATCCTGTCAAAGTCCACAATATACACGAGCCTGGAAAATACTATGCTGAGTGAAATCAGCCAGTCACAAAAGGACAAATACCGTATGATTCCACTTACATGAGCCATCTGAAGTCCGCAAGGTCCTAGAAACAGAAAGTAAAATGGTGGCTGAGGGGCTGGAGGGTGGGGGAGATGGGGGTGTAGAATGTTAGTCATGCAGGATAAGAAAGTTCTAGAGATGTGTTGGACGACAATGTGCATGTAATTAACAATACTGTATTGTACACTTAAAGATTGTTAGGAGCGTATGTTTATGTCATGTGTTCCACCACACACAGACACACACACACACACAGACACACACACACAGACACAGACACACACACAAGGAGTCTCGGCTCAAAGGTTCCTCAGGTTGGGATCAAGCTCCCACCTCCCGTTCCTCTGGCTCCTTTGCTTTCAACGCCTGGCGGATCTTGTTCTGGCAGCTCTGCTGAGCCCCATGCCACCCATCACGCTGCGCCTGCGCCACCTCCCTGCACCTGCCCCAAGGGGGAAACCCTGGGAGGAGGCCTTGGGTGCTTTGCTTCTCTCTCTCTCCACTTTTCACTCACCAGCTACTTCTTGGGAAGAGGCTCCACTGGCCACCTGCACTGCCGCGTGTGCCAGCCAGGGTCCTTCTGTGCTCAGAGGTTGCCCAGGTTTTGCACTGACAAAGATGCTCTCAATGATCAAACTCTCGCTGGCTATTTTTCAACTATGCCTGACTTTTTGGCTTTCTTGTTGTCTCTCCATTATCCAGTTTTAGCAAGAATCCTCCTAAATCAATTTATCCAGGATGCCCCACCCTCGGTATCCGATCACCCTCTGTAACTGATCCTCCTCCCCACCTTGGATGAGGTCTGATTATCCTGGCTGGCCCTCTACAAGACCCCCGCACTCCCCAAGCCCTGTGATTCCTCTCAGTGATTTTCATCCACTGCCCCGACCCTGCTCCTTGGCTGTGAATTCCCACTTGCCCATGCTGTACTGGGAGTAGAGCCCAGTGCAGTGGTCCCTATGAGGCCCCATCCCTTGAATAAAATCCACCTTACCTCTTCAACAAATGTCATGACTGTTTTCTTTCCTTAACAGTACTCACTGGGTTTCAAAGCTCAACAGATGACTGACTCTGCAATCAACCTCCTCAGTGTTTGGTGGGGGAGCTGTCTTTGGTACAGATGGGAGTGAGGAGACAGACAGCAGGGCTGCTGTGGACTGAATGCAAATCAGACCACATCACCTCCTTTCCCCAAACCCTCTATAGCTCCCTATTGCCCTTGGCAAAAAGTTCAAACTCCCTACTTCAGTTTACCAGGACCTACTTGCCCTTTGCCCCTCCTGAACTTCCCATGCCTTGTCTAGGCCTCCAGAACAGCCTGCAGCTCCTAGACCTTCTCTCCCAAGCTTTTTCCTGCTTTTGTTGAATCCTGCTCTCTATCTCTATCATTCTTTGGGCTAGCTGATTCCTCCTTACTTTTCAAGCCTTAGCAGAAATGGAGCATTTACCAGGAAGCTAACAGTTAAGCTTCAGAGTCTGTGCCAAGCCTTTATAACTAATTTTATAACCTGGGATTCCTTTTCTCAAATAGGGCCTCAGGTTGTATAAGCCTTAGGCATCACAAAATCTTAATCTTCTGTGTTTCAGTGTAGACAATCCTGTTTTCCAAACTCCTTAAGATGAGAATCTTTTTTCTTTTTCTTTTCTTTTTTCAAAGATTTTATTTATTTATTCATGAGAGACAGAGACATAGGCAGAGGGAGAGGTAGGCTCCCTGCAGAGAGTCTGATGAGGGACTCAATCCGAGGACCCTGGGATCACAACCTGAGCTGAAGGTAGATGTTCAACTGCTGAGCCACCCAGGTGCCCCTAAGGTGGAGGATCCTGATCTCCTCCTATATGTGCTGCCCACCAATGACTCACCCCCGGGACAGCCCTGACTGTGCTCCCCTGTGGACCTATGGACTCAAGAGTGTTTACCCTAAAACTCATAGAGAAAAGGTATTTTCTTTGTCCTTCGAGTGCCAAGATTCAAAGTGCATAGTTGGTAGTAAATAAAAATGTGAGCATATGATGCACTGCATAAACTGATCTGGGAAGACTATGTTTTTTTCTTTTTTATGTTTCTCAAGATATTCTATAAAACCTCTGACAGGAGTGAAAAAGCGTAAGCACAATCCAAGAAAGATGTTCCAAACCCTGCTCCAACCATGTGTCTGCAGAGTGCCGCTGTTCCTGATTCTGTCCATTTCCCAGAGCTTGAAGGAATTTGTGGCAACTTCACCAAATAAATGCAGCTTTATTGTCTGCTGTACCACCTAAGGGTGTCTCTGAAACAGGACATTTTTATTTAAAAACAAACAAATGAAACAGAAACAAAAGACATAGCATCTCTTCAAACTTAAGACCTGTCAAATTTGCTAATTTCTCTTCCTCTGGGAGTTCATTATACTATACAATTTACTTTTTCTTCCCTTCTCTTACTGAAATCTGAAATTAGAGCAGTTGGACACTTGTCTACTCCCGACTGTGACTCTTGCTCAGGCTCAGCCCTGGGAGGGTAGATCCTCTTTCTGTGCCCTTTCTACTCTCTTGGATTCTTGGATGACATAGTGATTGAGAACATAGGCTCTGACGTTGGACTTCCTGGGTTCAAATTACTGCTCTTCTCTTTACTGATTGTGTTTTATGAACTTGAGCTGGGGACTTAATTGGCTATTAACAACCAATCGTTGAACTTTCAGGAACTTTCCAAACCTGTTGATGACCTTGAAATTGGCCTTGAGAGGAGTATCTGCACCATGGAACCTGGTAAATGCTGCAGATGGGTACTCGTTCCCCTCCCTGACCTAGTTGTTTCCATGTGCTAGCACATCACTGCTCAGTTTCCTTATCTATAAAATAGGAGTAATAATAGTGCATATCTCATGGAGAATTTAGAGGGAGTTATGTAAAATGTATTTATTTGTGCATGCTAAGTACTTAGTAATTGTGAGCTACTTTTGGTGTTTCTCCCATTTTACATGGTCCAAAGTCTTTCTGCTTCATGTGCCCTAACCTCAAACATTGGATCAGCCAGATCCAGAACATACATTGATAATAAAATTTTAAAAAATCACTTTGACTACTTAGGGCTTTATTTTTTTTTAATTTTTATTTATTTATGTATGATGGTCACAGAGAGAGAGGGGCAGAGACATAGGCAGAGGGAGAAGCAGGCTCCATGCACCGGGAGCCCGATGTGGGATTCGATCCCGGGTCTCCAGAATCGCGCCCTGGGCCAAAGGCAGGTGCTAAACCGCTGTGCCACCCAGGGATCCCTACTTAGGGCTTTAAAACAACTAGCTCATAACTGATAGGAAATGCATGGTCTGATGTTTATGAGGTAGATAGTGATGTGATGACACATATATTATAAAATTAGAATTCTTCTAAATTTAGCTCTGATTACTTTTGCTATATACATTTCATTTGGCTAGATGTCAGAAAGAATTTCTTTTCTGCAACATCTATTCTTTTTTCTCCCATTTTTAGGCAAAGACTATAAAGATAATTTATTATGGCATTTGGTAATTCAGTAAACAAACATGTTCTAAAAAATTTAAATAGCTGTGTTGAAGTAAAATGTGCTGAAAATTCACATGAAAGATTTGCAAGTTAATAAAGACTTTGGTGAGGAGCACCTGGTTGGCTCAATCAGTGGAGCAAGTTACTCCTGATCTTGGGGTTGTGAGTTTGAATCCCATGTTGGGTGTTGAGATTACTTAAAAATAAAATCTGAAAAAAAAATAGACTTTGGTGAGCAAGTAGACTCTTGGCAATATATCGCTGTTATCTGAGTGCTAAAAATATAATATAGAGAGACTTCTGAGGAAGATCCTAAACCCACTTTGTCTCACCAATACAGCTAGATAACACCCACATCAATGTATGTATGATCCCCATATGCTAAAACATGCGGGGAGAGGAGTAAAGAATGGGTTAAAACTTAAGTGACCATCAACCTAACATAGACCACTATATGCAGATGTTGCATATAAACCTAATGGTAAACACAAATCAAAAACCAGTAACAGATACGTGAAGAATAAAGAGAAAGGAATCCAAGTATATCACTAAAGAAAGCCAGCAAACCAGGAGAGAAAGAAAGCTAGAGCAGGAGAGAGCAGAAAAGAACTGCAAAGCAACCATAAAACAACCAAGATGGCAATAAATACATACCTATTAATAATTATTTGGAATGTACATGTACTAAATGCTCCAATCAAAAGACATAGGGTGACAGAATTGATAAAAACGCAAGACCCAACTAACCACAAGAGACTCATTTCATATCTAAAGTTGCATGCAGATTGAAAGGGAAGGAATGGAAAAGCATTTATTACACAAATGGGGTAGCAATGCTTATATCAGACAAAATGAACTTTAGAACAAAGACCATAACAAGAGACAAAGAAGAACATCATATAATGATAAAGGGAACAATCCAATAGGAAGATATAACAATTGTAAATATTTATGCACCCAATGTGGGAGCACCCAAATACATAAAGCAGCCAATAACAAACATAAAGAAACTAATCAATACTGATACAATAGGGGTCCCTGGGTGGCACAGCGGTTTGGCGCCTGCCTTTGGCCCAGGGCATGATCCTGGAGACCCGGGATCGAATCCCACGTCGGGCTCCCGGTGCATGGAGCCTGCTTCTCCCTCTGCCTCTCTCTCTCTCTCTCTCTCTGTGTGACTATCATAAATAAATAAAAATTAAAAAAATACTGCTACAATAACAATGGGAGAATCTAACATCCCACTTACATCAATGGACAGATGAGTTAAACAGAAAATCAAGAAAACCATGGCTTTGAATGACACATTGGACCAGATAGGTCTAACAGATATATTCAGAACATTCCATCCTAAAACAGCAGAATACACATTCTTTTCAAGTGCACATGAAACATCCTCTAGAATAGATTACATATTAGGCCCCACTACTGGTATTTACCCAAAGAACACAAGGTTTGAAAATATATATGCACCCCTATGTTTACTGCAGCATTATGTACACTAGCCAAACTCTGGAAACAGCACAAGTGTCCACCGGTAGATGAATGGATAAAGAAGATGTGGTATTCATATATGAATGTTAGCCATACAGAGAATAAAATCTTGTCATTTGTAACAACATGGATGAAACCAGAGGTATTATGCTAAGTAAAATAAGTCAGAAAAAGACACATACCATATTATTTCACTCATATGTGGAATTTAATAAATAAAACAAACAAGCAACAAAACAAGAGACAAACCAAAAAACAGTCTGTAAACTACAGAGAACAGATGGTTCCAGAGGGAGGTGGGTGGAGGATGGGTGAAATAGGTGATGAGATTTAAGAGTCCACTCATCATGATGAGCACTGAGTAATGTATAGAATTGTTGAACTGCGATATTGTACACCTGAAACCAATATAACAATGTATGTTAACTATATTGGAATTGGAAAAAAATATTTAAGTAGAAAATTGTACTCAAACACTCACCAGTTAAGATACAAATGTCATATTGAACAATCACTCATACTTTTATATTAATTACTTTTAAAAAACCTACATTGTAGAAAATGGATTTTAACTATATAGTACAATTAAGTGGAATAATGTGACAAACATATTCTAGACATAAATAATAATATTTAATGGAGAGGTTTTATTTTTCATTTAAAGATATATCAATTATCAAAAAGCTTGCTGCATAATTTAAAAATATCATGTATACATATCTGACTCACTTTAATCACTAATGAATTAACCACTTATGTGTATTTAAATATAAATATTATGCCAGTAAAGCTTAAACTTAATGTTTCCTTAAATGAGTCCCTCATTCATCCCCAGTAGGTTTAGAGGAACTTATTTTCTCCTAGTCTGCATAATTAATGGGATATGTGTATGTACATCTTAATCTAACTTTATCAGCATTTACAACTCTTGGAAGAAAAGTGTTATTAATGCATAGTTGGTCATAACAAAATCAGGACAGATTTCACAGCCAGGATACTTTGTACAGGAGAACTCTTCAAAATGCTTAGAAGTTCATTCCAGGGCACCTGGGTGGCTCAGTTGGTTAAGTGTCAGACTCCTGGTTTTGGCTCAGGTTGTGATCTTAGGGTCATGAGATGGGGCCCTGTGTCAGACTCCATGCTCAGCATGGAGTCCGCTTGAGATTCTCTCTCTCTCTGCCCCTCCCACTCATGCTGTCTCTCTCTCTCTTTCTCTCTCTAAGATAAATAAGTAAATAAAATCTTTTTTAAAAATGGCAGATGTCAACATGTAAGAAGACAATGAGGAACATGGGAACCGTTCCCTGGATTGAGGTTGAATTCTGTGCCATCGACGCTCCTTCTCCTTCAAGACATTCTGACGTCAATGAATATTTTGCTTCTGGGAATTCCCCTCTTGCAGCAATAAACTTTTTCCAAGCCTTTCTCCGTTAGTGGTGTTGAGTCCAGTCTCAGCAACAAATGTCAGGAAATTTAATATCAACAGGTGCCACCCCCTCATCAGGCAGGAAAGGATGTTCCCAGAGGATACTGGGCTGCCTCAAGGAATTTTCTCCCAGCCTCACCCAAGTCAGTTTCCTGAGTCCCATACCATCAGCTGCAATCTGTGTTCAAATAGTGTTGGCCCTATCTGAGGAGTTCTGTCCCTGTTCTTCCTGATGAGGCTGACTTGGAAAGTGGTACCCATATCGGGCTCAAACTCTGTGATGTTCTGACCTCCACCCACTACCTGTCTGCTCATGGGCTTCTGCCTTGGAGTCTCCAGGCCTGAGTTCTACTGCCCATTGTGTGTCCTAGTTTGCAAGGTTAGGGTTCTGTTCTTATTTCCACCCCAAGTGCTTTGCTGGCAAATTCTAGTTCTCCAGACATTCCATGAATTCAGATTTTGCTCTAGCCAGGCCCATCAGGCTAGGGCTTGGCTCTATGACCCTTCCCTGTGGCTCTGTTCCAGAGACAAAAGTTTGCAGGTTCTCCATCCCCAGTGCCACCTGTCCCCCACGATGACTGGCCACCTGCTGGGATTCCTCAGCACCATCTGCAAAACGTCCCAACATCCCAACATGTCTCTGGTCCCCTGTTCATGTGCCCACTGTTGCTCACTTGAACCCTGAGTACCGATGATTTCCCACCTACTCCAAGGGGCAGCATAGCAAAGTGGTTAAGATCATGCCCTCTGTCCGGGTCCCAGCCTTCCTGTTCCTACTCAGGGGACTTTGGCAAGTCACTTGATATCTTTGTGCCTCTTTCTGCTATCATTTAAATGGGTCTAATCCAATTTACAGGTTAAGAGGGTCTGTAAAAGTGATGCTTACAAAGTGCCTAGGAGGTGGATTGCTGTAACAGAGCACCACAGACTTTGAGGCTTAACAGACATTTTCTCATTCTTCTGATAGACATCTGAGATCAAGGGGTCTGCAGGGCTGTTTTCTTGCAAGGCTGCTCATTGTTGGCTTGCAGATGGCCACCTTCTCTCTGTGTCTCCCTGAGGTCTTCCCTCTGCGTGTTGTGTCTATGTCCTAATCTCTTCTATAAAAATACCAATCCTATTGGATTAGGTCCCTTTCTACAGACCTCATTTTAACTTGATTGTCTCTATAAAGACCCTATCTCCAGATACATTCACATTCTGAGGTCCTAGGGGTTAGAACTTCAGCATATGATTTTCAGGGGGACACAATTCAGCCTATGCCAGCAATTAAATAAGTTGTGCCTGGACACTGCCAAGCTCCCTAACAGCCTAATGGTGGGAACAGCTGGTAGATACTCTGGACTAAACCTAGCCTGAGCTACAACAGCCATTCTTCAGTTCCCTGATGACCTGGAATCATAAAGGATGGGTCCAGCCTTTGGTATCTTGTTCTAACATGCATTCATTCAAAACTGTCCGACGAAGATAACAGATGGAGAAAAATTAGCCCCCCACCAAAAGATAGCACTACTTAGTAGCAGTTAGAAAGTCATGTCCAGTGAGAGAGCCCTTAATGGTTTACTTCCTTGGGTGGATACTGTGATCCCTTCAGAGACTCTGAATGTTTTACCATACAGATACTTTGACCTCCTTCCAATGAATGTTGTCATCACCTCTTCAAAGAGCAATTTGGAAGTTGCAAACTTAGAACAACAGACTTGACCGCCTGTCCCATTGCTGATTATTGGGAGGGGCTTCTTCCCTGCATAGAGTGAGGTCCCCTGCCCCATAAGGCAGTTCCTGGAATGTGCAGGTCCTTGGTTGTCTTCATGTATAAAATAGTCTGTAATTTTGATGTTAAGGTTTTGGAATGTAGTGGACACCTAGTTATTGGCTGATAAGTTTAACTTCTTTTTCAGTGCTTTTTCTTTTTCTTTTTCTTTTTTTTTTTGGCAAATGACTGTCTTACTCTAAATTCTGAGTCTCTGGTTTGTCTAGTGTGGAAACAATTCCACACTAATTGTGAACAGGGTAAATATGGTTTAGTCCCTATTTATCAAGCACATGTGACACCCCATGCAATGTTAAATAGCTACGCTACTTTATTGAATGTTCTAGAGCACTCTGTGAAACAGGTGCTGTTACCCCCTTTTTACTAGAAGGAATGAGAGCTCAGGGCCGCAGCAGAGCTAGTAAGTGACAGAGCCAGGATTTGAACCTGAGTCACTTTGACTCCAAAGTCAGGTCCTTAGCACTCTGTTTTTGTTTTGTTTTGTTTTGTTTCAAATCTCCTAAGAACTCCTGGTTTGATCCTTATTTGTCTACCAAGTGTGGCCCCTCCTTTTCTCTTGCATTGTCTTGCTCTATGTCATTTTAGCTAAAGCAAGATATGCTGTTGTAGATCTGTATTTCCAGTGTCAGAGACCAGCAAGGGCTAAACTGAATCAAGTTCCTTGATCAGGAAGCAGGTATTATAAGAGCAGCATTGGCTACAAAGCACTGACTTTATTGGGGATAATGGTTTCCTTTATTCTGCCCTAGGGATTGGCTTATTCCTAAATTGAGTTGGATGAAGTCAATTTAACTTAAAGGTGAAAGATAGAATAAAGTATAGTAAAAAAAAAAAAAAAAGCACAAGTAAATGATAAGAATTTTGCCAAATAATTTGCAGAGAAAAGTCAGACAATGAGTACTTATGCACACACCTGGGAATGGTAATAATAGGTTGGTTTTCTCACAGAAACAATCGAGAGTACCTCCTACTCCAAACAATGGGCACGGGGAGTGGGCTAAGCTGACTAATGTGACTTTCATGGTTCCTGGGACAATGTTTCCTTTCTCTTCAAGCTGTTCTTCCCTTGCTTACCCAGCAGCAGCCCTACTCTCCCCTTAATTATCACAATGAAACCAGTGTTCAGATACGCAGAGTGAAGATGCTTTTATAGCGCACAGAGGTTGCATGGTTTTTAAACAGCCACAAAGTGTGACCATGCCATAAAGTCAATAGCACACTTCATCATTTCCTAGTAGCTTTCATTTTTTAAATGTGGGGTGGAGGAGATGAGTGACTTGTCTCTGAGGCTCTTGGTTTGACTCTGGGCAGTAGTATGATGGCATTGTTAGGAGCACTGATTGAGATCAAATTCAGTCACTTTGAACTTGTCTGACTTTGGGCAAGTTCCTTAACTTGATTTAGCTTCCTCATGGACGTATGAGGAGTACACATCTACAGAATGAGGGTAATACATCTTATAACCATTGTGAGGATTAAAAGGTGAGGTCCTTTGCTTGGCGCCTGGCAGATGTAAACACTCAACAAATAATCATTTCCTTCCCTCCTTTTCACAGGGTCATTTGAGGGCTCATTCAGGGGTTAAAAGCTTATGGAGAAACCCCAAAAAGAAGCACTTGGTGCTGAGAAATGACCAGGAGGGCTTTTGAGCATTTATTTGGATAATACTTCTTGACTGCCTCTCATGTGCCAGCTGATATGGGATGAGTAAATGCCTTGTCTTCATGGTGTTCACAGTGTAGTTGGGGGAACAGATGGGGCACTGAATGATCACATATACAAATGTAAAATTGCAACAATGACAAGTGTTGTAAGGAGAGCCTCACAGTGTGGTAAAAATCTATAAACACATTTGACTTGGTCAGAGAGGTCAGGGAAGGCTTGAACTGTCAGTGATGTTTGAGTTGAGATCTAAAAAGTAAGTAGACCTGCAAAGGGAGGAGGGAAGATGTGCGAGGCAGAGGAAGCAGCAAATGCAAAGACCCTGTGGCAGCAGGGAACAGGTCTAGTGAGGTAGGCTTGAATAATGGCCAGTGTGGATAAGCGCAGGGTTTTGAGAGGGAGTGAGGTATGAAGGCAACTCTGGGAAATAAGTGGGGGCCAGAGCAGGCAGGGCCTGGGAGGCCACCCTGTCATTGGTGAATCTTTGAAGGTAAGAGGTTGGAAGAACACTGGTGAATGGTTAATTACCATACGTGGCCTTCAAAATTTTATAAGTTAGTGAGTGACTTATAGCTAACAGAGTCAAGTGTTAGGGTTTTATCAGAAACCAGATGGGGAGGGCAGAGCAGTATGCCAATGCCATCCAGGAGATGAAGCTGGATGGGCAGGGTAGGGAGCATCATTCTGGTCCTCTATAAAGGCCGCTCATGATCTGGTATCTTCTCATCATCCTGAAGAGCTGAAGGAGATGGAAGTGTAAATAAATATTCTAAATTATTTCCACAGTCATATTCTTTCCAGGTCAAAATGTTAAGTGTTGTTGTTATCATTATTATTGTTCTAATTATTATGATTATTATAATTATTTTCATTTCAAATTTGAACAGTCACTAGAACAAAATTCCTTTGACCTTTGGCTTGCTCCCCTTCTCTGGCTCCCTTGGAGGGAGGCTGCTGACAATTCATAGACTCATTGTGCTGTTCCATGGGGGGCTGGAAACCAGAATCAAAGGTAAGACTTTTTGACTCATGTAGTGGGAGTCCCAGCGTGAGGCTACTCTGTGATCACCCGGAATTCAATATTCACTCTCTGCAAGGAGGTGGCCACATGGTAGCTGAGAGCAAAAAATACAGCACTGCAGGTCCCTCAGAATCGATCAGAGGCTTGGAGGGGTGTCTACAGCCTGCAGTGGGTGGGAGCGCAGTTGAAGCCATGTCTGCCTCAGGGTGTCTGTGGCCTGGGCAGCGGAGGCCAGGGCTGCTTTCAGAAAACCACCATCATGGAGCCAGCTGGTGCCTTTGCTATGGTTTCTTCCTTTAAAGATGGCATGTGATAATAGGGTTTTGTGGCAGGCCAGGCCCTCCTGTTCACTCCTGATGGCCAGGAGGTAGGAGAGGCTGAGAGGGGGGTCACTGGCCTCATTCACAGACAGATTGATCCAAGTGGGAAATCCCAGCAGGGTTCCTAACTATTTTCCCAAAAGACAGAGATCCCACAGCACAGCATTTGCATTGTGTATCCTGT